GACTCTGGGGGATACACAGGTATTGTGTTTTATGTGGGATACACAGGAAGATAGATTTTCTCTGCCATCACCATTGTAAAGCCTATACCTTCCCAATGAGCTACTCATCCTTTTAATGAATTCATTACCATAGCACATGCTTTTATTAGCTACATAGTTAGTGCTATTATCTGTGCTAATGTGGGGAATAGAGACAGGCAAATACTAAACAAAGTGTAGTCCAATAAATTGTTTTCAGATACTCTGGAATGCCATTGGGAACAGAACAAAAAGCCATCAATACCCCCTTTTGCCTGGCATCCCTCATCCTGACTCAACCTAAGCATTAAAAACTACTGTAGAAGAGACCTCATGAACAATCCGAAAAGTGGGTGACCCACATATAACTAAAGGGGCTGGAAATACCACTCAGTCCTGGCTTTCCTTTTCCTCATCATCACTCGGTCTTAACTTCCTCTCCAGACCCCTCCACCTTCACTTGCTCCTTAAATGCTGGTGTTACTCATGGCACATCTTTTCTCTTTGATCTTGTCGTCCCACTCATTCTTCCTTGATTATTGGGAGAGGCGGAAAAGGCTATAGCTTGGTCCTTGGAGGCAGTAGAAATCAAATACCCACACAAGACAAGGCAAGATTAAGGTCAAGTTTCTACAGATAAAGATACAATGAGCTACTTTTATATTTGGTTTATCACTTACATAGACAGTGATAGGAAGGGTGGTTAAAGGTGCCTATGCCCCGCAATCCTTGTCCCACACACCCAAAAGAACAATACCCAAACAAAAGTGACCACGTAACTACAACTTGAGTTGTGGGATTCCTCACTGCTGAGGAGCCAGCTCCAGACTGTAGCTGGGTGGTCTTACAATTTGGGGCTCTATTCTGAGGGAAAGGAGCAGCGACAGTTCAGTAGTAGAATTGTCGCGTTCCGTGCTGGAGACCCAGGTTCGCTTGCTGGCCAGTGTACCTCGTGCCAGTGGATGCTTGCGTGTTGCTGTGATACTGAGCAGGTTCCATGGAACTTCCAGGCTAAGGTGAACCAGGAAGAAAGTCCTGGCGATCTACTTCAAAAAACTCAGCCATCGAAAACCCTGGCGATGACAGCTGTCTGATCTCATTGTGCGTGGAGTCTCCATAAGTTGGGGCTGGCTCCATAGCAACCGACAACAACAATCAGAGGGGGTAGGGCAGAAAGCGCTGCACCTCATCAGAACCTGGGAGGTGAGGAGCAACTATCTTATAACAGCCTCCCAGGGGAGATAGCCCAGTGTGAGGTGGCTGCAGAGCAGCACCTCACAGGCCTTCTGTCCTCTGTGTTGGTGGAAGATCACAGGATACTGTGCCAAAGCGCAGATAAACTTTGGTTCATGTCTTTGCCTATGTGGGCTGTGTGGAAACATGCAAGGTCGCCAGGGTGTTCATTGCCTACAGTAGTTTCAGCCCATTAAGTATCAGACAAATGCAATAATGGTAAGGAAAATCGATCAGCATCTGTCTATGTTCGAAGCTCTGCCGTCCTAATGCTAAGGAACCTGTTGAAGGGGTTTTGATGTTTGTTTATTTATTTGTTTGTCTGTGTATCTATCTGTCTGTCTGTCTGTCTGTCTGTCTATCTATCTATCTATCTATCTAAATCCATGTCCAAGGCAGTAGATTTGTCCACATTCTGACAACCAACCAGTAGGGATCGATTTTATTATTATTATTATTATTATCATTATAATCCAAGTGTGGGAGCTCTGGTAGCATAGTGGCTAAAGCACTTGACTGCTAACCAGAAGGCTGGCGGTTCAAACCCACCAGCCACTTCTCGGAAGGAAGGTTGGGCAAACCTACTTCCGTAGTGATACCGCCTCGGAAACCCAAGGAGGGGTCGCTATGAGTCGGGGCTGACTCGACGGCACATAACAACAACAACATAATCAAAGTGTAAACCCGACTACCATGCAGTTTCAATCCTACATGTGAGGCATCCCTCCACAGCTCTCTTCTGACCTTCAGTGTCTGCATCATGCCAGGCACTGTGCTGGGCATGGGCTCTAGATATCTGAAGGGGTTCACCTGTTCGTCATGGAGTAGGACAGTGGAGGAGTTTTCAAGTTGCTTGGCCCTCTGTGGAACAGGAAATTTTGTGTGTGGATGTATCATCTTAGTTTGGGATAAACACATATTTAGAAATAAGCAATTTAGGTTTTGCAAATATACATAGAATTGGATTTTAAAACCCATGTATGTTGTGACCCATGTCACATTTGACCATTTTGACTCGACTGATTGCTTTATTATAGCCTGGCTGAATTGACTGGTCGCTAACTGGTCGATCTAGGCAAAATGTCAAATTAGTAACGAGTGTGGACACAGCTTCCTTGTCAAAAAAGCAACGAAGGCAGTATCCAATTGCCTATGCCCTTCCTCCCAGGTGACCCTGACAAAAAGATAGAGCAAACTGAGGGGCACTATTGAAAGGGACAAAGAAATGGCAGCTGGTCATCTGAGAAGAAATGCTCCATGCAAACTTGCCTTCTGATAAACTAAATGCTTCTATTGCCAAGCAGATATTTTGGCACTTGAGCTATTTTTAATAACCAGTGGGCGCTGTGTTGAAGCCATTGGCATACTGTTGTTTAGCAGATTGCAGAACTCCTAGATATGTTTAACTTGGAAGAATTCACAAACATTTTGCAAACAGTGGTATTTTGATGCCCACACATCTGTGGCTCATTTAAACGGTGTTTTAATGTATCAACGCCCACGTCATTGATCAGGGCTCCTCCCCTGCTTCCTAATGGGATGTCTTTGGCTTGCTTTCCCACTCTAGGAATCCCAGCTATTACGGTTGCAATCATACTGAGTGTGAAAAAAGATCTCTACGGAACTCTGAGCCCAGAGACTCCATTGTAAGTACAGGCATCTCTGCTTCTCTAAGTAGTGGCTCTCTTCCCTTCAGGTTATGGTGGGGGTGTTCCTGGGTGTTCCTGTGGCTTGCTCTCGACTCTGGCTTCCGGAAGACTCAGCTTCAGCCTTTCTTGCTTAAACATAGTTGTAGCCTCACTCACATAATGGTTAGGTGACCCTGGACAAGTTTCTTCACCTCTTACATCCACTTTCTCCTCTGTAGAATGGGTCATAGTGTTTTCTCTCCATGTTGTGTGTAAATTAAAATGACATCATGCATATAAAATACTTTAGCATGGTGCCTTGGCGAGTGCTACATGTCTGGTAGCGATTGATGATGGAAGGAGTTGAGGTGGCCACTCTAACTGAGACGAGTCGGAGAACATGTTCTGCCTTTCTGCAACACAAGTGCACTGAAGAAGACCCACAGCTTTCCTCTGTAAACTGTATCAACTTTCTTGTCCTCTTGTTTCTTTATTTTATGTTGATGAATCAGCCCATCTCTTTGGTTCTCTCATCCATTCTCACAAGAGAGTAACAATTCATGCCCCTCCACCTTTCTAGACCCTTCTTTTAAGGGTGTGTAGATGGTTACCCTGTGGTGCTTTAGGCTGCAAAATTTCATTTCGGACTTCTGATTGTTTTTATTTACCCACATCCAGTCTCTTTATCACTGCCTCTCTAATCTCTTCCACAATAGATTTCCTCTCCCACTGGACTGGAATCAAATGTAGGAGGTCCTGCCACCAAGACAGCCCACCCCTCACTCATCTTTCGTACTGAGATGACAGTTTCCAGAGGGTCAAAATGATATTGCCCTCTTCAGCAGATGACTTCTAATTAGAATTCCGTGTTATCCTTTCTCTCCCTCCCTTCACTCTCCCCTTCCTTCTCATCTCCCCCTCTGTCCTCCCTCCTCGCCTATTTTGTGATTAAAGAGTCTCCAGTGTCTATCTAATGGTGATTCTTCTTCACAGATCAAAAGCAAAAGCACAAATAAGGACAAAGCTAACTCCCCTCACCCCCTAAAAAGCCCTTTCATATGTGAATTGGTTAGTAAGAGGCAGACTGCTCTAATAGGTTTTTAAACATTATTTTTTGAAGAGGTAATACATGTCCATGGTCTGAAATTCAAAAGAACAGAAAGGTAAAGGACAAAACTTAAGTCCTGCCCCCCATTCCCACTACCCCATCTCTCTCTCCAGATGCTTGGGTGACCTTCCAGAGGTGGTCTATGATTAGACACTCTGATTTTTATAGATACTATTTTGCTCACTTTGGTACCCAAATAATAGGTATGCACCATTTGCCACCTTGCCCTCTTCACTTAACAATATATCTTAGAGATGATTCTCTACCCAAACATACACAGCTGCTTCATTTTAAGAGTTTTTTAAAATAACTTTCAAGGTCAAAATGATATTCCAGAAACCCTAAGCATTTGATTCTATTAGGGAAATTATATGCTGCTTTCTGTTCCCTCCTAATACACACACACACACACACACACACATGAAATTATCCACAGCAACATGAATAACGTGGCCAAAAGGAATTTCCTGGGTCCAGTAACAAGGTCTCAGCTAAATTGACACCGAGTTAAATTTGTCATGATTGTCTGTGTCCAGAAATCAGCGATAGTGCCTCCAGTAATTGGAAGTGTTATTAAATGAAGTGTCTGTTCATATGAACCACTGCATATTCCTTCTTTAATCGAAAAATGTGGAGCCATTAATCAAGCCAGTGACCAGTGTTGCTTTTTGGAGTCTGAAGCAGTAGCTGTGGTAGGAGGTTTAAAATATACATCATATTTTAAAGCTGTGCAACTAGAGCTGTCCTCTTTTTGTTGCATTTTCATTAACTGATAATCTCATCGTTGTTTGATATAACATTCAGAAAAGCCATTCATTGCTCGTGTCCTTTTACTGTGATATTTATCATGCAAAACAGAATTCATCCTGCAAATAAAATCTCAGGTGTAAGGTGTGGGGAGGGCCACTTGTGGGGGAAATATATAATGTGTTTTTCTACTGTTGAGGAAGAGAAGAGTCTCCTAGGGAACTGGACAGAGAGGTTTCGGCAGAAATAGCCTCTAGCATTTTCGACTCGGTATTGGAAAGAACCCTGGACTACAGCTCAGAAAACCAGGGTTTACTCTACACCCAGAATAAACTCCAGTCGGTTTCTCTCTCTGGGGCTAGGTGTCCTGAAGTGAAATGAAACTAGGTAGATGCTCTTCAAAGTCTAACTAAAAAGTGTGAGTTTATGTCTCTCTCCCTCACAATGACCTTCCCTTCTTTGTCTCTTACAGTTGTTGGATTAAGGATGATTCTGTCTTTTACATCTCAGTCGTGGCTTATTTTTGCCTCATATTTATCATGAACCTCTCCATGTTCTGCACTGTTCTTGCGCAACTCAATTCTATGACAGCCCAAAGCCAGACGACTCGGCGGAAGATGACCCTGCACGACCTCAAAGGCACAACAAGCCTGACATTCTTACTTGGCCTCACCTGGGGGTTTGCCTTTTTTGCCTGGGGACCTGTGCGGATCCTCTTCTTATATCTTTTTGCCATTTTTAATACCTTGCAAGGTAACTTCAGCTTCTTTACCCTTTCTGTGGCTCGTTAGACCTCTGTCAACTCTTTCATTGCTTTAGATGATAACCTTACCTACCAGAGACCCGAAAGAGGGAAAAAATACTCCAAGAGGCCTCTGCTCCCGAGGAGTTGAAAGGCAGCCATTGGAAACATTAACCGGATGTTAGTGCTTCATTATGTGAATATTCAAGGATATAGGGAGAAGCTCAGATAGTTAACACAACTCCAATTACGGTGATGCTTTTACAGTATTCAGTGCATCAACAAAGTGTGCTTCTAGATACACAGATTAACACTTTTGTTGACATTTTAATGTGTACAACCCAGTAGAACATGGCAACTACTGGACAGTAGGAACATTAAGGTTTTGACCCTATAGACTCTGGATGCATCAGATTTCCTAATACTGTGGGAAAGAGCCAAGTTAGGAAATTGAACAGTTATAAAGGAATGAAGGTCAAAAGCAAAGAACAGTGGGCCAAGGCAAGAAGTCAAGGTTCCAGTCTTGGCTTTGCTACAAATCAGCCTTGAGAAAGTCACCAGAACTGGTTTAATTAGATGACCCTAAACTGTCTAAGGGTTCTATAGCTCTTTAATCTCCTTCCTGTTTTCTGGTGAAAGGAGGAAGTGATCAATGAAGTGATTAAATGATAAACCAAGATGTGATGAAAAGTATAAGCTAGGTGTTGTAGTTAAGGTTGTTGTCAACTTGGCTGGCCCTGGTTGAGTGGCTGGGCAGCTGGTGGTAGTTATTCCTCATGATGAGACTTGCAATCAGCTCCATGGTGGGATCTACCATGAGCAACTGAGTAGCTTCTTTAGGGATGTGGTCTGCTTCCCATATGTAAGAAGCAGCTTTGGGAATGGTCTGTAGTTTATGGCACATTTGAACACTGCATGTAGCCGAATTGTTGTTCAGCAGCCTGCCATGCTCTGCTGATCTTGGGACTTTTAATGGTCTTGAATTAGTGGCCTGCCGTGTTGTTTGGTGATATTGGGATGGTGCCTTTTTACTTGTCAACCTTGGGCTTGGCAGCTTCAGCAGCCAGCAGCTGTCTGAGTGAAATAAAAGCCTCAGCTTCAGTGGGTCGGGAGCAGGAGGCAGAGATGAAGCCCAAGGCTGAGAGGCTTTCACCCAGCCCCTAGAGTCTGGCACTTTGAACTCGGGCTTAAAGCCTCCAAGATTGTAAGAGAATAAACTTCTGTTTGTTCAAGCCATTCCATTTGTGGTATTTCTGTTAGAGTGGCCCTAGGTAACCAAAACACTAGGGATCTGGTTAAAGCACTTCTCAGTAATTGTTGATGTTTTATCTTAACCTGATTTTGTTTATTTAAAATCCTGGGGAGAAGATGTATGCAGAATAATTTTATTGGAATCTCAAACTCCACCCTATGTTCTCATCCACGAGTTTGGCACAATCTGTTTGGGCTATTGGGGCAGGCTGAGTCAACTCAGGAAATCCATTGAGTCAGGGTCTCCCTTACTCCTCTTCATTATTCATTCAACAAACCCTTTTACCAAAGTGCTGTCCGCTTGTGGGCCCATAGGATGCTCCAGCAAGAAAATAATTTTATGGTCAAAAAAGTTGACCATATTGTAAATTACATTCCGCTGTTCTTGGAATGGCATGATGTATGTTACATGATAAAAGCACCAACAAATTCTGCTGGGGAAAAAAAAAAAACTTCAAATATTTGTATTAACCCAGTATTTGTAAGACCTCAGAACCCTTTGTAGCTGTGGTTGTTAACCCTGAGGAGCACTGAGAAATGTGAATTGGTACGTGTTCGTTATGTGCCAGGCAATTGCGAAGTGCTGGAGTGGAGGGAACCAATCTAGTATAAGGCATGGCTTTGCTCTCATGTTTTACGATTCAGGAAACCGTCTCAGAGCAATGAAGTGGACCAACTGAAGCTTTCAGTCCTACCAGATTCTCCCAATTTTATATAGCCATACTCTGATTGGAAGGAGCTCTGGTAGCATAGTGGCTAAGACACTTGCCTGCTAACCAGACGGCTGGCGGTTCAAACCCATCAGCCACTCCTCGGAAGGAAGGTTGGGCAATCCTACTTCCGTAGTGATACTGCCTCGGAAACCCAAGGAGGGGTCGCTATGAGTCGGGGCTGACTCGACGGCACATAACAACAACAACTCTGATTGGAATGTGAAAAGACACAAAATATGTTGTCCCTCTATGTGCTCCTTTTATTGTCCCTCTGATAGAAGAGACGGAGTTCTTAGGAGTTCTCCACACCACTCTCACTTGGTCCCTTTGAGGCTACCAGCACCTGGTTGTGTCCTAGATTGCTGACTGAGGTTCTGGGGATAGTCCCTATACTGTTCTTCTTGACAGAACTACCTAGCCTACACTGCAATACCCTGGTTTGGCACTTGATGCCCTAATTTCAAAAACTAACCAGCCTTGGTGTAGAATACCCCACAGAAGTGGGTCAGGAACTACGTGCCTATGCACACTTCTTCCTCAGCAATCAGTCCAGGCTTCTTGGTGGCTCGCTCATCCTAAGGACAAACATGCACAAGCTGTGGAAAGAGGGATGAAGCAGAAAGCTGACAGGAGAACAAGAAAGCAAAGCCATTTCGAGAATTAAGAAAAGAAAAGAATGTTTTCAAAGTAGGGAGTGTGCGCCATCCCTACAGTGGGAGACAAAGCACATCTAAGCAGGTCGCCTGTGTGGGTGGAAGCAGAATCCAGCTAAGATCTCTTGAAGACTAAAACCAAAGGCCCAGAGACGCAGCAGCAGCAATAGAACCAAGCTACCTGAGACATGCTTAATGTCCAGCAAGCACCAAGCATTCTTAGTCCTGTCTACAAGATAGGATGTGCCATGGCATCTTGTGAAGGGGGTGTTTTCAGAGCTCTGAGTTGCAAACTCAAGTTACACACACATAGTCCACATCTCCACACCACACATCTCACCACACACACACACACTATATTCTCACACACACACCACCCACCCCACCACACACCACCCCACATATGACCCAAATAACCTCCAAACAAGAACGCAGTGAAACAAGCAAACACATTAACCCTTTGAAAGATAGATGGCAAGCACGAAATTTTGGCTGAAAGGGATTGCCCTGTGGTCAGATGTGAAAAAAAAAATTAGGCTCATAATGAGCCATTCGTGAAAGAGGGATGCTCGAAGAAAAATGCAGGTGACAAAAGCCTGGCATCGGCCCTCATGTCTATGTTCTAGTGAATGAGCAGATCAATCTGTTATTAGAAGGAAAAAGGAGGGCTGTCAGGCAGCTCATCGGAATTCGCAGAATAACATTTCAGTCTGTGAACTAACTAAACTCCAAGCTGGAAGTCTGAGCGGGAAGAAAGTGCTTGAGGTCACAAGTGCCTCTCATTCCGGCCAAAGCTGAAGGATTTTGACCTGCTCTGACACTGGCTTTGCCCGCATCACACGGGGCTGCGGCCTGGACCACTTGCCGGGTGGCTGCTGCTCAGAAAAAGAGTGAACACTACTGAATTCATCACCACAATCGTTTGGTGGCAAATGCAGCAAAAGCCTTTAGGGGAGTTAATGGGACAAGTCATTCCATTTAGCCTCCAAGTCTTGTTGCCTCCCACCTGGAAACCGAGAGTCTCAGGGCTGGGCCCAGGCCGGGAGCCCAGAGGCCCTTGAATCAAACTCCCCATTCAATGACAAGAAGTGACTGGCCTCTGCCTGAAAGTCTCCAGGGCCAGAGACCTCTCCATCCATAAAGCATGGCATTTGAGTGTTAAGCAGCTCTGATTCTGACTAGCAGTCCTTACCTAATGGTAGTATGGTGCAGTGCTTAAGACCCTGGCTCTGCAGTCAGCCTGACCTGGGTTCAGTCCTGACACTAGCAGCTCTCTCTGAGCTCTGTGGGTCTCCACTCTCTGGGTTGTAATATAGTTGCTCTGCGGTCACCGTGGGTCGGAATTGGCCAAAACTAGTTGTCTGTAGCTTCCTCTCACTGCTCCTAGTTCTAAACTGGCATCCTCGCAGAACAAGCCTGACTTGTTCTTTTCATGACAGTCCTTTCAGATCTATGACTATAGCCACCATTTGTCCTCACCTTATGTTTCCCATTCCAAGTTTTCTTGTATCCAGATAAAACCTTCCAGCCCCTTCAGCTCCTCCCAAGCCACCAACGTCTTTGTTCACTCTATTCTGGAATACTTCTGTTTGGCATCATCCTCTTCAAATGCAGCATTCCAAACTGAACGTGGTGCTGGTGGACATATGGTCAGACCAGGACCGACTGGCAGGAGACTGTCACCCACTTCAGTCAAGGTTCTTCACTTCCACAAATAGCTTAACTGTGGGGGCATTTACTGTTGACATGCGCTGAGTTTGCAACGAGCTGAGACTGTTGGGATCCATCCCGAATTATTTACCTTCAGCATAACTGCCCAGTGGAGAGGTAGAGGAACCTGCATAGAAGCAAAGGTTTCCAAATTGCACTTGAGCAAAAATAAATATCTTGAGACCCAAGTAGGTATTGCTAAGGCTGTAGAAGGCTGTGAGAGTTTGTGTAGCATGTGCTTTGGGTTATTTCTGCCCCTTTCACCCCCAACTTTAGGAAATCCAATCAGCCTTCCAGGGCATTTGGGATCAGGGTCATCTCGAGTCCTCCTTTTATCTTCCAAGGAGATATTTTAGAGTGTGGGGATGAGAAATGGCCAGGATTAGCATTAGATAGCTTCAGCACTTCCCTGCTACTGGCAGGACAAAATCAGGGCTTGTAGAGGTATTTTCCATGCAGTGGAATCATGCTAAAGAACAGGTGTGTTAGTTATTTATTGCTGTGTGACAGATTACTCCAATATTTTAACAGCTGAAAGCAACAAACATTTATTACCCCACACAGTTTCTAAGGGTCATGAAATCAGGAGCAGCATAGCTAGTTGGCTCAGGGTCTCTCATGAAGCTGTAGTCAAACTGTTGACTAGGGCTGCAGACGAACGAAGGGTTGACTGGGGCTGGAGGAACTGCTTCCAAGAAAGCTCACTCGCATGGCTGTAGGCTGGAGACCTTAGCTCTCATCATGTGGGCCTTTCCACAGGGCTGTCACTCAAGGATATCTTCAAGACATAACACTTGGCTTCTCCCAGAGTGAGTGACTCCAAAGAGAGAATGAGTGAGAAAGAGCAAGATGTAATCTGCTAAGTTTTTGTAACCTAATCTTGGAAGTGGCATGCTATCACTTCTGCCATGTTTTATTGGTGCAATGTGGAAGGGGACTATGCAAGGATGTGAATGCCAGAATGTCGAGATCGATGGGTGCCATCTTGGAGACCAGCTACCGTAACAGATTTGATCTCTCATGCTCTAGGATGGACAGCAGTCCAGGAGGAAAACTGTGCCTGGCATGAAGTCTTGATACAGAACTTCCTGCCATCACTGCCTTTGGGAAGGAGGTTAGAAAGATTAGTGGTCCTGAGGTTCCTTGGAGATACTATCTGTAGTGGCAAGAGCAGATCTGAGTCTGAGTAAGGGTGACAGCTGGTGAAAGAAGCTAAAAGAGACTGACTTTTTTCCCCTGGCTTAGGATTCCTCATTTTTGTGTTCCACTGTGCAATGAAGGAGAGTGTGCGGGAGCAGTGGCAGATACATCTTTGTTGCAGGTGGTTTCAACTGGATAACTCTTCTGGTAAGGTGCCGCTTTGGGTAAGGATTTGAATTTTCCATTCTGTACATGACAGATTCGATTACCTTTTCTCCTAACTGTAATTCATACAGTGTTAAAATGGAGGCTGTTTCCATGTCATAAAAATTATCTGTACCTTTCATACTGAGATGAATGAAGTCAGATGAAGAATGTGACTTGTTATTGTTGTTATGTGTCATCGAGTCATCTCCAACTCATAGTGACCTTATGTACAACAGAATGAAACACTGCCCAGTCCTGTGCCAGTCTCACTATCCCTACTATACCTGAGCCCATCGCTGCTGCAGCCACTGTGTGTCTATCCATGTCATTGAGGGCCTTCCCCTCTTTCGTTGACCCACCATTTTACCTTCTCCAGAGAGTGGTCCCTTCTGACAACACGACCAAACAAGGTGAGATGAAGCCTGGCCAGTCTCGCTTCCAAGGAGCATTCTGGCTGCACTTTTTTCCATGACAGATCTGTTAGTCCTTTTAGGAGTCCATGGTACTTTCAGCATTCTTTGCCAACACTACAACTCAAAAAATCAGCTCTTCTTTGATCTTGTTGTCCAGCTCTCACATGCATATAAGGCAATTGAAAATACCATGGCTTGGTTTAGGTGCATCCTAGTCTTCAAGGAGATATCTTTGCTCTTCAGTACTTAAAAGAGGTCTTTTGCAGCAGATTTACCCAATGCAATATGTCTTTTGATATTTTGACTGCTGCATCCATTGACGTTGATTGTAGAACCAGATGAGACTTGGGCCATATTTTAACTAAGTGAAGCTTCTCTTTTGGCCTATATTCCTTGGGTTGCTTTTCCTAGCTGTCACCTCAGTCTTGTTGAATTGAAAAGAATATTGATTGTGTGCCTGTTGTGTGCTAAACAATGGATTTCAGGAGCCTTCTGGATTGTAGCCAACAGTAGATTGAGTGGATATGGAACGAGGAGTGGTGGTGGAGGTGGAGAAAACTGACCAGCATTCCTAAGATACCTGGCTAGTTGGGATGCCAGGGTGGACCTACGTCCCTTCTTGCACAGTGAGACTCTGATTTTGCCTCTCAAAACTAGCTCTTCCCTTGAGAATAGCTTGAGTCGCAGCAAACTGATTTTGTACCTATCAAAAGGCATCTTATCTCAGGCCCAGCACAAAACCTAGTCTATATCCTTTAGAGAAGGCAGTGCCTGAGCTAGAAGATTTTGTAAGGACGACAGATATTACCTTCCTGGACACTGGACATGCCAGTAGGCTATTGGTTCTTTTGCCAGGCTCTAGAGAAAGTGGGCATCCTTGGTGAGTTGGCAGTCTGTACTGCATATCATACAAACTTATTTCTCACAAATTCATAGAAAATCTGACTCCTGGAAGTACACTGAGCTTTTATCAGTGCTATTTTAATAGCACTATTGAAGTATAATTTACATACCTTAAAATCTACTCATTTTAACTGCACAGTTTGATGAGTTTTATATTTTTGCGTGTCATTTCAGATGTAAGCAGCAGATGTGGGCTGAATTTTGGCTATAAACAGAAGAAACTGAAGAAAACCATTGAACACAAATTGTTGACACTGTCCCTCAGATCAACTGCAAGTAATTCTACTTTCAAATCTTTAGGCTCCATCCAAGGCACTTCTTCCAATATAAGCTTTCCACATGGTGAGAAGAAAAAAAAAAGGGGGGGGGGGCTAGCCATCTGCACTGGTATTCCAGAGATACTGAATTAATGTGAGGCTACATACTTGATCTCGGATAATGCTCCCCCTCAAAATTAAATGCACATGTGCATGTATATACTTGAGTTCATTCTTGGAAGTGTGTGTAGAGATACTTAGTAAACTTAATATGTATACATCTGATGGATCATTAGTAGCAATGCAGGAGAGAAGGATTGGGGGTTGAAAAATTTATGGGTTGCTTGGGACCAACAATGCAACAATTGGTCTCTCCTCATCCAGGGCAAACGAGAGTGAAGAATATCAAAGACCATGGAAGCGATTAGTCCAAGGAACTAGTGGATTATGGGAACCTTGGCCTACATGATCCTAAGACCAAAAGAACTAGATAGTGCCTGGCTATCACTACTAACCACTCAGAAAGGGATCAAAATTGAAGATCATTGATAGACTGGGAGAAAAACGTGAAACAAAACTCAAAATCATAAAAAAGACCAGGCTTACTGGTCTGCTAGAGACTGGTGAAACCCCTGAGACCATAGCACCTAGTCACCCTTTGAGCCTGGAATTGAACTCACTCCCATGGCTTAACTTTCAGCCAAACAACAGGCCTACAAGGGGAACAATTACACCAAATAGGTATACTCCTATAGAAGGGCAGTATTTGCTCAGGGAGATAGCTCAGAGGGCAGAAATGCATAGGAAAGACGAACCCAGGGAAAAGGTTACCAAAGGGAGGAAGTGGGAAGAGAGTTGTCACATTGTGGGGATTGTAATCAATGTCATGAAACAAAATGTGTATGAACTGTTGAATGGAAAACAAATTTGCTCTGTAAACTTTCACCCAAATCATACACATACAAGCTATCACTCACACCAATAAAAGCACCCATTAACCTTGAATGAGACCTCAAAAAAAAAATTACGGGTTGGACCACACGAACTACAGCCTCTACTACCCTGAGACCAGAAGAACTAGATGGTGCCCAGCTACCACAACCAACTGCTCTGATCAGGATCACATTAAAAGGTCTCGGACAGAGTGAGAGAAAAATATAGAATGAAATTCAGAATCATAAAAAGGACTAGATTTACTGGTCTGGTTGAGACCGGTGGAACCCCCAAGACTATGGCCTTTAAACACCCTTCAGACCTGGAACTGAACCCACTCCTAGGGATCACCTTTCAGCCAGACAATAAACAGATTTATAAAGGGAACAGTAGTGGACTGATGAGGAATGTAATCCTCAGAACAACCAACCATACCAGACCAAAAAGAGCAGCATTTGCACAAAAATAAAGCTCAGACAACAGGAAGGGTCAGGAAAGAAAGATGAATGGAAAGGAGGAAAGCAGGGAGGAAATGGGAAGAGTGCTGTACATTGAGGGGATGGCAACTAATGTCACAACAGAAAAATGTGTAAATTGTTGAATAGAAAACTACTTTGCTCTGTAAACTTTCACCCAAACTACAAAAAATAAATAAATAAAAATTTGAGTAATTAAAAATAATTTGTCACAGACTGTTACAACCAAAGGTCCTTGTGTGGTACGAATGGTTTGCGCCTGGCCACGAACTGAAAGGCTGGCAGTTCAGGTCCCTTCAGCAGTGCTGTTGAAGAAAGGTCTGGTGACTTGCTTCCAGAAAGATCACAGGCAAGAAACCCTTAAGGAGCTTAGTTCTACTCTGGAACACACGGCATTGTCATGAGTGGCAATCAACTTGACAGCAACAGTTTTGGTTTGGTTAAATGAAACCTTAGGCATTATCTAGTCTAATCCTCTAATTCTACAGGGAGGAAGTTTAAGCAAGGACAAGAAAAATGACTTTTGGACAGTAACTCAGCCCATCAGCAGCAGAACTGGGACCAGAACTCTAGTCTCCTGGCTCCCAGGCTAACCTTCATTGTACCCCCTCAACCACATATCTTTCTAAGATGCTCACCATTTTCCATAAAACCAAAACCAAACCTACTGCCATTGAGTCAATTCCGACTCCTAGCGACCCTCATTGGTTTTCAGAGACAGTAAATCTTTACAGAAGTAGATTCCCAGTCTTGCTTCTGCGGAGTGGCAGGTGGGTTTGAACCACCTACCTTCTGGTTAGCAGTCAGATGCCTTAGGCACTGTGCTACCAGAGCTCCTTACCATCTTCCATAGGAAGCCATATTTCTAAATGCAGACACAGATGTTGAGGTGGGGGTGGTGTCTTGAAAGGGAAAGGGACAGGAAAGAAATGGCCTAAAGTAAAGAGACAGGTAGAGTGAGCAAGAACTTAAGTTAATGTTTGGATGACTCGGTTCCATACTTCTGATTAGTTGCTGTAGACTTTGGTTGCCTTGCTTAAAGACCAAAGTTGGCTCCAGTTCATACACACAGAGCAACTTTGGTGGCCTGGCTGTAGTCATTCTCTCACCTTTTCAGTGCTGGGGGTACATATGCTTCACCCACGCCTACTTTTCACTGTGTTGGCTCAAAACAAACGTATATTCAAGGGCTGCACCCGACTTAGAAGCAGCATGGTGGGCAAAAGAAGCACTGAGCTTGGAGTCAAAAAGCTTTGACTCAAGTCCCAGCTTTGTCACTTACTCTCTGACCTTGGGCACATCACTTCCTTACTTGGAGCTTCAATCATTCTACTTTCAGCATGAGGGGGCTAGACTGGATCAACTCCAAAGTCACTACCAGCTTCAAGATGGCATAAGGCAACACTGTTTTCTACACTTTCAACAGTCTCAGTGCCAACTTTGTATGGGAAAGTTGGTGGCTTGCATGCAAAAACCTTTTCCTGTCCACAGTCCATCAAACTCTGGCCAGCTAACTTGCAGATCTATTCTAGTGTTCGTAGGGAGGCTCTGGGGAGCCATAGTGTATAGAGGCCTGGGGTGTGGCAACTCCTTGGTAGATCACAGTTGAGGCTGATGGGGAAATATACTTTTATTATTATTACTACTATGTAACAGTATTTACCTACTACTTGTTGCAAAAGGGTTAGTGAATGCTGGCTCCCTTGCTGTTCCTGGGGGGTGTACTTTCATTAGCAAATACACAGTCCAAAGGGGTACTTATTGGTCTTTGGAGGAGTGGTAGTAAATACCATGGCTGGAATTTTAATGTTGTACCAAGCACTAGACCTGAAGAGCTTGGGGGTGTAGGGCCCTACCGGAGGTGCTCAGTCACTTGCGACATAACTCAGCCAGTGGGGCAGGTAGTCCATCCCTTTGGGCTGCAGGTTTTAGACTGGCAATGTGGATGCTGCCATCAAACTTGCTGTGACCAGAAGCTCAATTCCATTAGCACAGAATGAAACAGCACTCTCTGTACTGCAAGACGCTCTCAGGCCTGAGAAACAGCCAAACCGTCAGAGCAAGAACATCACATTCAGAGGGGATAAGATGTGTGTGTTCCCATTTTATGTTCTCACTTCCTGGAGGCCTCCAAGAATTGTCCATGGATGCCCTTCCTTTGGTTGAGATTCTTATATTCCACTGCCTGTTATTCACAGTGCAGGAAGAATA